TTTGTCAACCAGACATGTGGGTAGATTGCCCACACAAGTCCCGTGACTTTGGGCCAAGCACTGTACTTACCACAGCTTATTAGCAAAATGGCAAGTCCAAGTGAATGCCCCCAAGTCCCCAAAACCTCCAGCCAACATGCCTGCCATTACTTCTGTGTTTTTTTATTGAGGTATAGTTGGTATAACATTACATTAGTTTTGGGTGTGCGATTTGAATTTTAACGGAAAACTTTCTAAGTTTGAAGTACCCAACTCCTTTAGAAAATCTCGAAGGGAAAAAGAGCTGACCCAGCCTTCCAAAAAGTGTGTCAGTGAATGAGGTGGCACTGGCTGCCTCCCAACCCTCTGGTTTAAAGCTTAGTGATCATACAGGGTAGTGAGGGAAATGATTTTGCAAACTCTCAGTCACATGCTGTGAGAGGTGTTTTGATGTGACTGTGTTGCACTGGTCGTCACTTTTCTGGAAGTCACTTTATGTGGCCTGACCTGTCTCCTATTTACCAAAGATGACACAGGTGGGAGTGCAGCTGGTGTGATTAGTCCATGCAGGTGCACATTCCAGGTTTCACCTCTTCTTCTTTGCCTTGTTCCTTAGAAAACCCTTCCTGTCAGGATTGGTCGGGACAGCAAGGGGACTCAGAAGCTCTTGGTGGCCCCTCAACCCTGTGGCCAGCACCAGAATTAACAGGCCCAGACCAGCCCTTTCCACTACTGCTGGGCTCCCACCCAGACGGAGGAGGTGCAGGACAGACTGGGGTCCCGGTGCCCCTTTATTCGGTCCCCCTGACCCATCATCCCGGGACTGGTGGCAGTGTGGCAGTGACAGCAGCTCCTGGAGGAAGCTCCTGGGAGGAAAACCAGCAGATGTACTCACCTCCTGGTAAGACCTGCCAGCTGGGTTGGAAGCCTTGGGAAGGAGTCTTAGAGGAGAGGAAGCAGGCGAGGGAAGTGCGGGGGCCCAATGAGTCAGTGGGCATGGAGCTGGGAAAGACCTCGATGGTGGATGCACATGTTGAGGGTCTACTGTGTGTCAGCGTGTGCTGGCACTTGGCATTCATTTGTGGGAGATGCCCTGCTCCATTCCAGTTTTCTGTGCAGGAATAAGCACAACAAGGCCAACAGCAGCCCCTCCTACTCTCCCCTTGTGTTATGTAGTTTCTAGGACAGAGGCTGTGCATGAGAAGCCCCCTGCAGCTTGAGCTGTGCAGGTCAAGCATTTTCCAGCAGCTATCCTGCATCCAGGAGCTCCATGCCAGCAACTGGCAGAGACAACACTACTTTCCCCATCCCAAGTTTTTCAGGTTCTTCAAACCTTGGGCAACAGGTCTGCAAAACTAAGCAGTGCCCTATCTTGCTGGAAACCAAGCAGAAGGATTCTATCTTAGGTCTTCTTGGATATGGTTCTGCCCAAGGGAGATTCCAATGGAAGGGGTGGTCCTGGAGGATCCCTGCAATGCAGCTCAGCAGGGCTTTGATTTCCAGGATAGCTCAGGAAGGACCTTGGTATCTGGGTACTGGTTGATTCCTGAGCATATCCTGGGTCGGTGGGACTCGAAAGGGCTGTGAAGGTGGACTTCACATTTGCCGTGATCTGCTCGGGGTCACGGGCTCTGGGCTCCAGCTGCTTTGCCGTTAGGCGAGCTAACTGGGTCCGCATCGCCCTTCTTCGGAGTGGCTGGAGAAAACACAACTGCATGTTGCTATTTTTGTTTGCTTTGTAACACAGGAGAGAAGACGGTGACTCAAGAAAACTTCCAGCATCCCAGTGGTCCAATGGGCATCCCCCAGCCACAGGTGAGAGGACACAGCATAACAGGTGTCTGTGTCCACGCGAAGCTTCAGCTTTCACCAGTCACCCTAGTTTCCTAGCTGTGTACACGCTCTCTGCTGTGACTGGCACCAGCTCCCTCCCCAACTTGGCATCCTGGGTCTGCTGAGAGATAGGGAGGAGGCTGTTCTTGTTCAAGCTGAGTCCCATCCATTTGTGTCCATGCAGGAAGGGGTCTGTGAAGCTGGGTTTTGTTTTGGTCTCAGATCTCCTTTGAAGCCCTTTTTTCTTTTTATTAAGGTAACATTCATTAACAACACTGTAGGCTCCAGGACACATTTTCTTACCTCAGCAATGGCGTTCAAGCTCACCACATCCTCTAGTAACCCAACTGGCTCCCTCTACCTAGCCCCTTCTTGCTCCTTCCCCTCTGGTAAGAACCATTTTTCTGATCTGTCTACTAATTTGTTTCTATTTTGTCCTTTCCTTTATTGTCCACAAATGAGTGAAATAAATCATCTGTCACTTGTCTTTCTTCTCCTAACTTATTCCACTAAACTTAATCCCCCCCCCCCCCAGGCCTATCTATATTGTCAAAAATGGTAGGAGTCCATCTTTTTTTTACAGATGAGTATTATTCCATTGTGTGTGTGTGTGTGTGTGTGTGTGTATCTATATATCTCACATCTTCTTTATCTCCTTCTCTGTCTTTGGGCACTGAGGCTGTTTTCACGTCCTTGTTTTTGTGAATAGTACTGCCAGACCACAGGGGTGCATAATTCTTTTAAAATTAAAGCATCTTTGTGTCCTTTGGATAAATATCCAAAAGTGGGATAGGTGGATTAAATCGAATTACTATATTGTTTTCCATGGTGGATGCTTTATGGAAGGTGGCTTTTTTCTATAGTTGCATTTATTTTAAAATTTTTACAGTGCTTTATTTCAAAGCAAGATCTCTGGCAGCCGTGTTTGCTCTGTTCACGCAGGCTGTAAGGTCATGAAGGTGACCTGTCAAATGAACCATACTCTCTATGTACCTCTCCCCCTCAGTGGGCAGTGCTGGTCCCACTCTTATGACCAAGCTTTGCCTTCCTGGTGAGAGGAGCATATCACCTGACTTTCTCAGGTAGTAACAGGGCTTCAGGTTTGAAGCATTTTGCTTTACTTTTTTTTTTTTTCTGACTGAAAAAGAGGTATATTGTTGTTATGAAAGCTTGAAAAATAAGGAAGAAGTAGTATATTATTGTTATGAAAGCTTGAAAAATAAGGATAAAAATCACATAAAGAATCAAATAAACATCACTCATAATCCCAGTCAAATAGTTACTTATTTCCTTTCAATATGTTTTGCTATGTATGTGAACAAATATATACACATATATATATTTTTTCTTTATTTAAAAGATTTATTTATGCGTACAGAACAGGGGTACAGGCCAGAGGTATAAGGGTGGTGAGAGGATTCACCAGAGACAGAGTGGGGAGCAGAATAAGCAGATTGACAAAAGAACACTGCTGAGGGGAGCAGCAGACGAGGCAGGAGAGGTCTGCTATGCCAAGTGGGTCACCTCCGGGGCTGGGGCTGCAATTTAGGATGAAGGGGCTGCGACTTGTTGCTAGCAGCGTAGTGCTGTGCTTTAACCTATTGTGCCACCGGGAGGGCCCACACATATATTTTCAAATGGTTAAGAACATGTGTGCGTGAAACTTTACTTCCTATTTAATTCTGTCAAGTGAGACTTTGTCCTTCATAATTACAATTTTTAGTTTAGGCATGATAATACATTGTATGAAAACACCACCAGTCATTCATTCGTTCATTTACATATGCTGACTCCACGCAACATACCTGGCACTGTTGCAGGGCTTGGGGGTGCGCAGGTGAGCAGGGTACTCCTGTGCATGGAGGTCACTACAAATAAACAGCTGTGCGCATGCGGGATTCCACTTTAGATGGAGAGGGTTGGGTGTGGCAGGGAAGGCAGAGGTCAGAATGGAATGTGGACATGTGGCAGGTAGGCATCCAGGAAAGAAGAATTCAAGTTTGTAACAGCAGGAGCAACGAGCCCGGCATGGGACCCACTTGGTACAATCCAGGAAGAGTCCAGGAGTCATACAGATATCTAGAAAGTGTGGAGCAGTAGGGGAGAGCACCAAGAATCAAGGTAGAGGGGTAGAGAGGGGAGATCGAGGAGGGAGGGTCTGGCCGACTTGGCAGAGCTGAGAATTGAGTTTGTCATTCCTACATTTTAAGTATTTCAAGCATGTCACTTTGCTTTTTTCTCTTCCTTTCCATTCTCTCCTATATAAAACATAGGCAGCCTAGTGCATAAGCCATGGTCTAGTTCTTGACTTATTCAGTTGGGAGAATTCCTTAGAAAGAGGAGCAGACTGTCCAAGTTTGGATCCTACTCTGCCATTTACTAGCTGTGTGACCTTCAGTAGGTTGCTTAACCTTTCTGTGCCTTAGTTTTCTCATATATAAAATGGAATGATAGCAGTCGTACCAACCCTACTGTTTAAGGATTAAATGAAACACTATATATAAAGCACTTAGATCAGTACTTAGTACATATTAAATTCTGCGTTAGAGCAAAAATTAAAACCTCTTCTCTGTTTACCCAAGTGTTTTTCCAATGGAAAATTATGCTGTCTTGTGGTATACTTCTATACAGTATTAAGAAAGGCAAATTTGTAGAGAAAAAAAGATTGTAGGCTTCAAGGGGCTGGGAGAGGAGGAAATGGGGAGTGGGGGAGGAAGCTAATATTGAGTGGGTTCAGAGTTTCTGTTGGGGAAGATGAAAAGTTCTGGAAATGGGTAGTGGTGATGGTTTTATACAATGGTGTATAAGCACTTATATATACACTAATTAGTAAATTTATATTTTTCCCGGATAAAAAATATTAATATAAGGGGATTCCCCTCTGGTGCCTTTGTTCACAGTTGGCTGAGCAAGTCTGTTAGGAAATGAGCTCTAATGTAGTTAGGTTTGGTGATGTTATACTGTCTGCCCTTTGGAGTTTGTGGGCCTCGTGGGGATTTTTCCTGGGTTCTTCATCTCCAGCGATATGTTCTTCATTCTGCTCTGGGCTTGGGGGTGGTTCTGGAAACCTTATTTTCCTACTAGGTAGCACAGCTCTTGGAACATTGGATTAGTAATGATATGAGGATCGGTTTGGGCTTTGGCTTTGTCCTGAGATCTTCCACAGTCATTTTTCATAGCTAAGCTGTCTTTCCTCCTCAGGAGAATATGATTCTGTAAGCCTCTCCCACCAATTCACGGAGCAGGTGAGGTGCCTGAATACACGTAACCTGTCAAATGCTATGCAAAAGTTAGCTCTTATTTTCTTTTGTTCTAGGCGCCTCTGATTCCTGGAGCAGGAAGTGTCGCTGAGAGTTCTGCAAAGGAGCAGGGTGAGGAGGATTCCTCTGATGAGACAGATAAAAAGGCTTCCCAAAAGGCTGCACACAGAGAGAAGCAAGGCGAAGGGAAGGAGAACACAAAGGTGAGGCCCTTTTCCTCTCCTGCATTCCTGTCTCAAATGCTGGCGTTGAGTTGGCAGCTGGCTTTGGTTGTGTCCTCTCTATCACATTGGGGTGGGTTCATCTCACACTCAACAGGAAATTAAAACTACAAGCCATAAAACATCCCCTTCTGCTTCCAGAGCTCTGGGTTTGGCTGGTTCAGCTGGTTTCGCTCAAAACCCAGCAACGCATCCCCTTCTGAGGACGAAGACTCATCAGACAGCTCAGACTCTGAGGTAACCTGGATGCGAGGGCAGGGAAGCTGCCCCTTCTGTGAACATTTCAGAGGAAGTTTCCTCTGCAGCTCAGGGAGTCAGGGGCTGGCAGGAATTGTCCCCAGGCCGGATGAAGCTAAGGTTTGCCGATGGGAGTCTGTGGGAAACTGATCCTGTGAAGGGCAAAGACAGGAGAGAAAAAGCTTCATTTAAAAGTGAGGATGGAGAGTTTTAATGTTAGTGGGGCATCAGTAGGGAACTAGTTTTGGTTACTGAGCAGGGGAGTGGCACCAAGAGATGGGGTTTCGGGAGAGTACTCCAGGAGCTGGCTGTGGGTGGAGGCTGTGCTCAGGGTGCAGGACACAGGAGGCCAGTGTGAGCATGTGAATCACTGATGCAGGGTGCTGCCTTTCTCTCTCCACCCAGCAGACCTCCAGAGCACCATCTCCCACTCAGGCTGGCCCTGGTCCTTCACTGACACCAGTCCCCGAGGCCCGGCCTCTGCCAGGTACCAGCGCCTTCCCCCGGCGGTACCGGTACCACCAACCTGACGGCCTCTGGGCCATCTGCATGCCTTCCTTCACTTTCCTGGAGTTCAGGTGGCTTCTGGAAATGGGGCTCCTCCATGCTGATCAGTGGCAATAACTCTTGACTCCTTCTAGGTGAGCATGAAGTCCCAGGATCGGTGTTCAGGGGGGGAGCAGCTGAGAGTACTGGAAATGGAGGCCTGTCCGGGCCTGAGGTGAGCCACCCAGCAGGTGGAGCCTTGCCCCCACCCCCATATTTTGCCCAAATAAAAAATATTAATATAAGGGGATTCCCCTCTGGTGCCTTTGTTCACAGCTGGCTGAGCAAGTCTGTTAGGAAATGAGCTCAAATATAGTTAGGTTTGGTGACGTTACACTGTCTGCCCCTTGGAGTTTGTGGGCCCTGTGGGGATTTTTCCTGGGTTCTTCATCTCCAGCAGTATGTTCTTCATTCTGCTCTGGGCTTGGGGTGGTTCTGGAGCATGCAGGCTGCACTGTCTACAGGGGCTGGAGCTGACTGACTCACGGAGAACATGGAGAAAGCTTCTAGAGTAGTTTGTTTGGGCTGCCATTACAAGATGTCATGAGCAAGGTAGCTTAAACAACAGAAATTTGTTTTCTCACCATTTAGGAGGCTGAAGTATGAGGTCAAGTTGGCAGCAAGCTTGGATTCTACTTGAGTCATCACTGACATTCTCGAGTGTCTGCATCCAAATTTCCTCTTCTTGAAATGACACCCTGCAGTGACCACCCTAATGGCCTCATTTTACCTTAATTACTTCTTCACCTTATCTCTAAATACATCCTGAGGATCTAGAGGCTAGGAGTTCAACATATATAGTTTGGAGGGAATACAACTGAGCCACTAACAACTTTCTTTGGTGCTTCTTTCCCTGTCTCAGTTGGGGCCAGAGTTCACAGCATCCTTGGCAAGGGTTGTAATAAGAGCCTCAGGGAATTGTCCACACCAGTATGGGTTTCATGCTAATTGCTGGGAAAACATTTTTATTTCTTGTGATCTGTTTAGAGCACTTTTGCAGTATTATATATATTTCAAATAATATATTACTTTCTATGATGCTGTTAGTATAAGTTATTTTAGTTTTTAAAAATGATTTATTATTTTTAAAATTTATTGATGCATACAAGAACTGGGGTGTAGGCCAGAGGTGCAGGGGGGTAGGGAAGAGGATTCACCAGAGACAGAGTGGGGAGTAGAACAGGCAGATGGACTGAAATACACTGTTGAGGGGAGCAGCAGGATAGACAGGAGAGGTCTGCTGCACCATGTGGGTCAGCTCCCTGGACAGGATTGAACTCATAGCACAGTGGCTGGCGATAGCTTGATTGTGCTAACCCCTGTGCCACCAGAGAGGTTCTGGTTTTTTCTTCTGTGCTGGACCACTGCATTGCTCTCCTACCCCTTCTGCATGCCCATACCCCACACTTACGGGCCGCCTGTGCTCACTTCAACCATGTTGGTTAGTTTGGGATTCCTGGATTTCCACCAATTTCTATCCTTCCCAGTTGCAGCTTTTGTTGCTCTGGAATCTTTTGGTGATCTGGGAAGTCCTTGGTGTTCTGCAATCTGGGAAGCAGAGTGATGATAAGATTTTCTATTATTTTCCACCACAGGGTGTTTCTTCAGAGATCTACTTCAACCCTGGCCCTCTGCTGCCTCCCCCCACCTTCAGTGGGGCTGTTCCTCTTTACAACCCATCTCAGGTCCCTCAGGTAAGGGAGCTCTGAAGGAGAGGAGTTAGAAGCACATGCTTTGAATGAGGAGACACAGGTTTTTAAAATTAGTATTGCATTTATTTATTTTATTTTATTTTATTGAGTTCGCATTGGCTTACAATACTGGGTGTTTTAGGGGCACAGTTTCATACCTGTACAAGTGTATGTTATCACATCGCCCACTGCCAAAGCCCCAGGAATCTTCCACCATAGGTCATTGGAGACCTAAGTTTATAATCTTGGTTTACCACCTGCTATGTGTGAGTCCTTGAATGATGATTTCACTTTTCTGTCTCAGAGTCTACATCTGTAAACTCGGGTTAGAAGTAGTGACTTACAAGATAATCGATTAAAAGGGAACATGTATGTGAAAGGCCTTGTACACAGAAGAAGCCTAATCAGTGTCACTATCACCTTGCACAAGTCTCAAGTCTCAAGAGACACCACGGGCACTGATCTCAGTTGCTGTGACTGCCCCATCATGGCATCCTGGGCTGCAGTCTCATTGCAAACTTTGTGAAACCCTCAAAACTACCTGCTCCTCTGTGCCCTGGGGCAGACTGATTGCTTCCATGTGTCACTTGCCTCCCCTTCTTTATAAAATTGAATTTTTCTTGCCATATTTAAGAGGTGGATGTGAATAATTCGAACCCCACTCGAAAGGGAAATGTTCCAGACTCTCAGGACGTCCTAGCTCAATCCAGCAAGCAACCCTGGGAGAGAAGGGAGTCATGTCTGGGGTTATTATCTTCGCAATGTTTGTTCTTTTCCAGCTCTCCACGACCACTGGCCTGAACCGGCCCAATCGCCTAGCTCAGCGTCGCTATCCAACCCAGCCTCGATGAGAAGTCCCATCTGGGATACAACTTTTATATTGTTCTTTCGGAACCTCCCCATCCTTCTGGCATAGAAGGGTTCTCAAGATGATTGTGCAAGTCTGTTGCCAGGCCTGGGCACTTAAAAGGCAAGAGGATAGAGACTCCCAGGACACAACTCTGTCTAAGCTCTTAAGATTAGCTTCAGATCAATGGAAATGGATTCAACAGATGGGAAAGCTGGTATGGAAGAGTTGGGGTGAGCAGAATGTCATGCCAGCAGTATTTAGGGTGGAGGCTTCACATTTTCAGGACAGTCAGAGGCTATAAACACCATTGCCCAGGTCAACAGCCCTGGGCTCTGCAGTGTGAAATTATTGAGGACCATATTCTGGACTAACTCTGACTCTCCCTTCATCACAGTTACAGACCAATTAACAGCTCTAGTTAGCCACGTCTTTATAGTGAAAGTTGATTATTGTTTCCTGTCATAATTCCTTCCTCAGTGACATTTTCAGCAGTTTCCCTCTTGGTCCTTATTTTGTGCCCATTAAAAAAAATGTGGTTCAAATTAATTATATTTCTCTCACTTTCTTAGCTGGTCCTATTTTTCACATTCTGGCATCTGGCTATCAAGTTAGATAGTAGGCATCATATTGTCATGGTAACTACTGAACCTCGTGATGCAGATGGATGGAACATCAGTATAATAAATGATGGGAAATGTTTCCTAAAAATTCACTCCTCCCAGAAGAGAGGAGAAAAGAAAACCTGATATTGTTAATACCTCCCATTTTACTTCAAGCCTTTGCAAATTGATGTTCAGAGGGTCACTGGAGCCAGAAGGAGGAGGGGGACATCTTGGAAATTTCCATTTCTCCTTTCAAACCCCAAATAGGCAAGACTCTTGCTGTTTGTCAGATTTGCTGGAAATTACTCCTCACACAGAACATTTTTTTTTGAATATGTAATTGTACATACAGGTTTTGTACTCTAATGTACTATGGTTCTGATGTTGATAGCGATTAAACCAGATAATTTTATAGCTAATGCTCGACTCTGGCTGATTTTTGCAGAGGGAGAAAAAACACTGAATGGGATCTTCCCTTAAGTTTTCTAATAGTGGGCCATTATGTAATAAGGTGCAAAGAGCTGGAAAGAGCCCTTTGTTAACATAACATCTAGAAATCGGCCTTCTTCCAGGTCTACGCTAAAGCTAGTTTTTCAATTAAAAAAATATGATCAAAGTGCATCTGGAGCAAATTAGTCACTTCATTAATAATATATTGCATATTCTGGTTCTTCAAAAAGTGTATTTACCACTCAGATTAGATCAGGAACTGTATGCATAAATATTTTGTAACTAGAAGAACCTCAGTAACCCTGTGCCCTTTTCTTGCTGAAAGAAACTGCTGTTGCTTCATTTTGGTGTGCTGACACCTAGTGGCAGTATTTTGTGAGTTTCTCAGGAACCCAGTTGCTTAGACTTGAATCCTGGTGCATTCAGCTCACCTTGTAACCAAGAGCAGCGTGACTTAACTGTCTGGTGCTTCAGTTCCTTCATCTGTAAAATGAGGAAGGTGATTACAGTGGCAACTTCTTCATAGAGATAGTGCAAGAGTTAAATCAGTTAAGCCCATAGAAATGTACCTGGTAAAGCTAAGCACTTTGTAAGTTTTATTATTATTACTATTACTAGTGTACAATCTATTAAGTCAAATCTTAACTGTCTTGTTGCCTGGCCTGCTTATTTTAACTGCATTTTACATTTTTTATAGGTACATATAATAATACTTTATAACTACTTTTTAATATGTGTCCTGATCACTTAGCCAGTTTGTCTTCCTTCATCTAGTCTGCCACTGATGCTAGACCATGCCACTTAGTGCCCCTGGGAACGATGAGCTCAGGAAGCCCTACTCAATGAAAAGTAGCATGTTAGAGGAGGAAGAGAGTGAACGTCAGAGAAGACTCAGATACCTGTGTCCTCACTTCCTCTTCCTGTGGTGGTGACTCAAGGAAAACCAGTGACTGTCTCAGTGTAAACAAAACAAACACTGAGCTTAGCTTCGGGAATGCACAGCAGCAGTGAACACAGTTTCTGAAGGAGAAATTCGGGAGGGTTTATGTGCTCGAAAAAGAGGAGTTTGTAGCGTATATGTTAATTCATAACTGAGAAGCTTTACTTTGGCAAAGTCAGAAGGTGTGCATTATTCTTATAGGACTGGTTTAAACCAGTTCTGTTGCTCTTTGGGCAGGAATGATCCCTTGGGTCTACTAAGAATCTGATTGCTCAGGGTCACTCAGAGTTCTTAGTCGTTCATCAGCTTTTTTAGTGGTAGTGGTGATGGTGGGGTCGCTAAAGGCTATGACCATCTTATAGCTTCCGCTAGTTAAGAGCAGTTGTGGTGAAACAAAACAAGTGTAGCTGTGAGAGGGAAATGTTTTGCTTTCTTTTACAAGGTGGAAGCTTGGGGAGCAGAGCAGGTGGTGACAGGAAAGTGTGGCTAGGACTGGGGAACCTTTCCATCGCTGGGAGGGGCTGCGAGCTTGAAGGAGAAGCTGGCCTTAGCACTTGTCCATTGTGACTTGGGGTCCATGGCAGCTTGGCTTTGGGGTGACCCATGTCCTGAGGGACAACCTTGGGTCCTAGTGAATGGGGACTCCTGCAGGGGAAGATGGCACAGAGCCCTGAAAAGCCACCAGGGACCACTGATGGCCCAGCAGACAGCAGACCAGGGCTGGGCCAGAGCAGTGACCCTCAGGAAGAGAGCTGACCATGCCAGTCTCAGGCCATCCTTCCCATCACCACAGCCCCTGAGGAGAGTGGGGAGAGAGAATAAACAGAATTTTCTCTCTCTCTTAAACAAAAGAGGAATTAGCAAAAAATGCTGTCTCACAGGAAAGAGCCTGATATATTATTAATTGGTAAATTTGTTTTCCCCTGTTCCTCAATGGGGTGTGATTTTTGAGGAAAAATACATCAGTTATGGGAAATAAAGAAGCTATATTTTCCTTTAAAAACTGTGTGGTAATGTGCAAACCAGTGATCCTGCTATATACATATAATTTAATATTTATAGGAAAACATTTAAACTTAATGTTCAATAATTTTGGAGAGAACAAACCATTAAATTCCATTTAAGCACAGCCTTTATCACGTGTTACCATTCCAGTCTCCATCCTGATCCCCTAATATGGCTGTAAAGCTGCTAACAAGCCTTGATCTCTCCATCACCTATCCAAACACTTCTTTTAGTCTTAACTCACGCTTCAGGTTGCTCAGGATCAAAGCCTCTGCTAGCTTATCTTTCTTCCAAAAATTATTGTCTCTTTGGTTTCTTACCCTGAGTAACCAGGAAGCAGAGCAAGAGACCACATCCACCTCTTCACTGAAATCAGAATATTTTCTTCTCAAGAAGAAACATGCAAAAGACTCTTTCACTTGAAAAGAATAATAGGGTCACTCCACTCATAGAAATCCTTCTGATACTTCACCCCCACCTCCGTGAGTGGAGTGGAAGAGGCTTTTCTCCTCTTATGCTGTTATTTCCAGCTGGAAATTGTGTGATTTGTACAAGATAGATGTTAGGGACTGACCGAAGGCTGCCTCTGAACATGGGTTCCAAAGCTGCCGGCTCTCACCAAGTCCTTGTACCAGGCATTGTTTTTCGGTGAGATTTAAAGTTATTTTGAAGGTAGAGCCACAGCACATTAAAATGTTTTCACTTCATTGGATTAAAGACCTAGACATAAGAACAGAAACCATAAAATACCTGGAAGCAAAAATGGGCCAAACACTACACGGCATACACTTCAGCGACATCTTTAAAGACAGAGCACCCAACGCCACAATAGTGAAGGCAAAGATAAATAGATGGGACTACATCAAGTTAAAGAGCTTCTGTACGGCAAAAGAGACATTACAAAAAACAGACAGCCCACTAATTGGGAAAACATTTTCTCACACAACAGTAGTGATAAAGGACTGATCACAAAAATATACAGAGAACTGATGAAACTCAACAAAAATGAAGTAAACAACCCCATCAAAAATGGGCAGTAGAGCTAAAAAGACACTTCTCCAAAGAGGAAATGCAGATGGCCAACAAGCATATGAAAAAATGTTCTACATCACTCGTAATAAGGGAGATGCAAATTAAAACCACAATGAGATACTACCTCACCCCAGTGAGAATGGCACATCTTCAACTAGCAACAACAAATGTTGGCGAGGATGTGGAGAGAAAGGAACTCTCCTGCGCTGCTGATGGGAATGCAAACTAGTACAACCACTATGGAAAACTGTTTGGAGTTTCCTCAAACTGCTTAACATGGAGCTTCCCTACGACCCAGCAATCCCACTCCTAGGTATCTACCCAAAAGACACAAAAACACTGATTCAAAAAGATGCTTGCACCCCCATGTTTATTGCTACCTTATTTACAATTGGAAAGACATGGAAATAAGCTCAACTGTCCAAAAGTAGATGACTGGATTAAAAGATGTGGTACATATACACAATGGAATATTACTCAGCAACCAAAAAAGAGAAACACATGTCTTTTGCAGCAACTTGAATGGAGCTGGAGAAGAGCATGCTTAGTGAAATAAGCCAGAAAGAAAAGGAAAAATACCAGATGGTTTCACTCATAGCAGGAGTATAACAGACCAGATAAGAAAATAATAACAAACAACTATATACCAGAGACATTTTGTGGGGGTGCAGTGAGGAATGGGATCAAAAACAGTGGGGGAGGGAAATGCACTGGACTATGGTGATTTGGTGATGGGAAACCCACGGGGATTACAACTGAGATGAAAAAAAGGCAAAAAATTATGTAAAAATAAACTTATATATATATATAAATGTTTTCACTTCAATCTCACTACACAGAGGGATCTGCTTCACTTTTGCATAGTCTCCAAGTGATCATACTTCCCTGGACCTAGGTCAACAGCAGTGTAACTCAAACTTGACTGACCTTTGCAAACTGCTCATTATTTTGCCTTTTCTGCTTGTTATTTTAACATGAGATGCTTTTCTGGTCTTTATCCATCTTTGAATGAGCCGATTAAGTATCCAGTTTTGAAAGCTTCTCAAGACAAGGGTATTCCATGGCTTTTCTTAAGGTTTCAACTTAGAGTTTCCTACCTTCACGTGTTAGGAAGTTATTCCTCATAGTTTATATCCAGATCACTTATGTGGCTCTTTAAGACACTCAGCTGGTCCTCAGTGGAGATGAAAAACAGCTGCTTGCCACCACCTGTGCCTGGAACTCTTTCACCTTCTGTAAGGCCATTAAATCATGTTGCAGAAATGAAGTCTTACAAGATGGCTAGACTTTTTGTAAGGCTTTGCATGAGTAGAAGTTTGGTATTAAACTAGCTAATGGCTTGGATTCTTTTGGTGGCTACAGTAGCTAGACATTCTGAATTTCAATATAAAGGTAATAACATTTCTTGAGTACTTACTTTAGATCAGGTATGAATCCTATGAAATGCATAGTATTATTTCAGCACATATAGATAGGGAATCTGAAAACTCAAGGGACAGAATAAGTAATTTGTCCAAGGTTACATAGCTAGAAACAAAGGAGATGGAACTAGAGTCTAGGTTACCTGACCTTAACGTCTGGGCTTTCAGCGACATTGTCCCTGATACAAGTATATTCATTCATTTATTCAA